CCACACGTTTATTTTGAAAAGGAACCTAAGAAATCATTTGAAGATTCCTAGATGAACGAAATAATGCTGTGGTGCTGTGGCTAGCGCTGTGAACATCGTGAACAGCATTGAATCACTGATATTTGAACATTGTACCCAGTCATTATCACACTCAGGCTCTAATATAACACTATCATAGCTAAATAATACAAGTTATATATATATTTTGACATTATTAGGCGATGCTGTGATCACATGCTGAACAGCAGTGCTGTGCGCTCATGCTGCGAGCGCCAGCCTTGGTTGCTCACACACTACTGAGGCTCCCACACCCGGGAATGTGGACCACGATTTTTTTTAAAGATGGCGTCTGTTTACAAGAGCCCTGAGGAAGCTGATGTGAACCCCATGTAGCCGCGGGAGTTTTGAATGGAACGTGAAAAATACAAATACCCGGAGGTGCGTTGCGCAAACCAGACGTGAGCCTGCAGGCGCGTTGCGCAGTTTAACCCTTAAACTGCGCATGGCGTATATATACGCCCTGAGTAACATGTCCCATGGTGCGCATGGCGTATATATACGCCATAGGGTGCCAGGCCTGATTCAAATGGCCCGCGGCTACACGGGGTTCACAGTAGCTTCCTCAGGGCTCTTGTAAACAGATGACATTTAAAAAAAAAATCGTGGGCAATATTCTCAGGTGTGAGAGGCACAGTACTGTTGGAGCAACCAAGGCCGGCGCATGCAGCATGAGCGAACAGCATTGATGTTCAGCTTGTGACCACAGCATCGCCGAAAAATGTCAAAATAAATATATAATTGTTATTATTTAGCGATGACAATATTACAGATGACCAATGGCTGTGATATAAATAACCAGGGTTGTGATAATAGCAGGATTGTTGTAATAATTAGCGCTGTGGGAGGAGTGATGCTGAGAGACGGAGGGAGACAGCATCGTTTACTGACTGTGTGGCCACCTGTTATTGTTTGCATTCACCATACCAGGTCAGTGGTTCTCTATGGTGAACACAAATGTAGATACTTATATATAATGTGTGTATTAGTGTAATAACAACAAAAGGATTATGCTGGGAGGAGCCATATGGGTGACGGAGGTGACGTCGTCTGCACGATTTGTCTAGCTGTTTAGAGGGTGGCCACTATGCTCTTTGAGCGCACTACAAGCTTAGGTGTACAGTTACGGTGCATACAACATGTAGATATTTATATATAATATGTGTATATAGGGTAATAACACTGCAAAAGGTATTGTTGGGGGAGAAAGTTTAGTGCGTGTGACCTTGAAAGAGTGAGGGAGCCGCCAGCCGCCATCTGTGTATAGCGACGACTCTTAGTGGCTGAACTAACTATATCAGCTTAGCTGTACAGTTGTGGTGAACAAAATATACACATACTTATATATAACGTCTGTATATAGTGTAATAACACCACAACTGGTATTGTTGGGGGAGAAAGTTTAGTGCGTGTGTTGAGGGAGTGGCAGCGAGTGGCTGGCTGGTGTGTGGCGGTAACTCCTCGTTGCTTTTCGACTCTCAATACCAACTTAGTGGTTCGTTATAGTGACCAAAACATGCCAATACTTATATATAACCTGTGTATAGAGTGTAATAGCAGCAAAACTATTTGTTTATTGTTTTATAAACATAATAATTGAATCACTAATATGCACATCATACTTTTGAGTATAGCGATTATTAACCACTTTTATTATATAAATATATTACAATACACACTATTGAATAATATTACTGCAAAAAAACTAAGAAAAAATAAATCGGGGACATTGAAACAATTAGGTAATAATATCTTTGTGGCAACTCCCATCTGTCAACGCGGGTGACGCTGACCGGGTCTGACGACCGCTCTGTCAACGCCCACTTTTTGCCAGACTTCCTCGGTCAATTGCGCCCAAAATATGTCACCTACGATTTTTTTTTTTTTTTTCCGTGCTCAGGGGACACAAATTAACATGTTTAGAAGACGAAAAAAAATTTTTGAATTTTTTTTTTCTTGCGCACAGGAGTGTAAATGTCCCAAGGACCCCTGAGCAGTGTAAGGGTTAAGGGTTAAAAGAGGCACAGGTTTGGAATAAAGTTCTTCGTGCTATGTGACTGGTATTGTTAAGAACGTGATAATGTATTCAGGTACACTGACATACCAGGTCAAGATCCACACGGGTTCTCAGGCAGTGTCATGAAAACACTCATGGAACCATTGCTGAACAAGGTTCATATCCTGTTTATGGAAAACTACTATACCAGCCCCTTGCTGACCAGATTCCTCTTTGACCACACCACCGGCGTATGTGGCACTGTCAAGGCCCACAGGAGGGAAATACCAGTGTTTGGCAATGGAATTGCAGTGGGTGAATTCCAGCTAAGAAAGTGTGATCAAATGTTATCTGTGCACTGGAGGGACAGATGCGAGGCGAATATCCAAAATGGCACTGGTGTGAATAGTTGTTATTCACAATTATTTACAATCACGTATGGAGTTGGGAAGCGAGTAACAAGCAGAGAATATATCACGCAAGACTCAGGGTCATAGATGTCTCTGACCCAATAGGCAGCATGATGAACACTAGTTGTGTCTTTCCAACATGTCATTCTTTGGTACACTGGGCAGCATGCGCCTAGGGCTATTTTCCCTAGGTGCCCGGTAAGTACTTCCCTTGTGTGTCAGGAGTTCTCTACCCTGGGGACATTCAGGTCTCACTCGCATTTGTGGGTTTCATCGTTCGCCGTTGTTCACACCTTTAGGTTCTGTCGGGGGTCTTGGGCTTCCCGTCTTGCCCCGGGTATTGTGTGGGATTTTGCTGATATTCACAATCACATTCACCAATATTCACACCGGTGACATTTTGGACACCGGCAAAGTGAACTTCTCAACAAGGTTGCCAATGTATAAACCTGATTGTGTTACTGACTACAATGTGAATACGCGGTTAGTAGATAAATGTGACATATTGATTGGTGCCATTGAGTGCATGCCAAAATCTGTGAAATGGACAAAGAAATTCTTTTTTCACCTCATTGAGGTTGCGGTGCTGAAGTGTTTTAACCCTCAAACCGATAGGGGTCCAAATGGATTTAACACCCACAGGTGAAAAAAAAAAAAAATTCTTTCGTCTTATAGAAGTGTTTATTTTTGTTCCCTGATCACTGAAAAAATAACAAAAAAATCGTTGGTGGCATATTTTAGCCGCAATAGGGTAGGGAAGTCTGGCAAAAAAGACAGAGCCTTCGCCAGACGAGGTCTACTCCGCCCGAGCTGTCATGCGGCAGTTGCCACAAATATGTTATTACCTAATTATTTCAATGTCTCTGAGTGATTTTTTCTTTGTTTTTTGCAGCAATATTATTCAATACAGTGAATTGTGATATATAATAAAATGTGTGAACCATCGCTGTACTCAAAATTATGGTGTGCATATTAGTGATTCAATTATTATACAGGGGTATTCATAAAAAATAAACAAATAGTTTTGCTCTTATTACACTATATACACAGGTTATGTATAAGTATCTGCATGTTTTGCTCACCATAATGAACCACTAAGTTGCATTGTGAGTCAAAATGTAACGAGGAGTGACCGCCACACACCAGCCAGCCACTCGCTGCCACTCCCTCCCTCAACAACACCTCATTCTCCTCCCACAATACTGTTTTTGCATTTATTCACTATACACACACACGTTATATATAAGTATTTACATGTATTGTTCACCATAACTGTACATCTAAGCTTCTATGGTAAGTAAAGGCACAAAGACGTAGCTACTCACACAGTCGGCTGGTGGCGGCCGCCCTCAAGGCCAGACGCACTAATATTTCTCCTTCAACAATATTGTTTGTGGTGTTATTACACTATATACACACATTATATATAAGTATCTACCTGTTTTATTCACCATACCTGTACAAATAAGCTGGTATGGTGCCCAAAGACCATAGTGGCCACCAGTAAACAACATGACAAGTCGTGCAGACGACGCACCTCCCTCACCAAAATGGTGTCTCCCAACCTATTCCTCTTGCTCTTATTACACTTTATACACACGTTATATATAAGTATCTACATTTGTGTTCACCATAGCGAACCACTACGCTGGTATGGTGAGTGCAGTCAATAAAGGGTGGCCACACACAGTCAGAAGACGACACCACAACCCTCCCTCCCACAGCATTACTCCTCCCTCCATGGAGCACAGCACTAAATATCACCACAATCCTGCTATTATCAGAATACTGGTCAGTTTTATCACAGTAAGGGGTCTTCTGTAATACTATCATCGCTAAATAATAGCAGTATCATGTATATTATGGCATTTGTAGACGATGCTGTGGTCACAAGCTGAACAGCGGTGCTGTGAGCTCGTGCTGCGTGCGCCAGCCTTGGTGGCTTGCTCAATACTGAAGCTCTTACACCCAAGAATGTTGGCCTGGATTTTTTTCTAGGTGGCATCTGGCAACTATCAGTCGTGGCTGTACGTTATGCCCCTATCCCAGGTGGGGTGTTTAAATTATAGCGCTAGACACGAAATCATATATATATATGATGTGCGCGGTTTTTGTTTTGTCACTGAAATCATATATATATGATTTGCACGGTTTAAGGGTTAATGTGTATCTTGTGAAATCTGGCAAGAGACCACCTATCCGTACATTCAGTGGCATTTTCTGGACACCACTGTGGCCAAAGTACAAACATTTGTGCAATATTTTCAACATAGATGTGATCAGGGAAGGGTATTTAATACTTTTGAAAGGACAAATAATTGTTTACAAAGAATTTATTTTTGGCGCACCATGTGTTTGTCATATTTTAAGGCAGAGCAGTGCAGTGGTTAAGCTGCTTTGTGCAGTGCAGTGGTTAAGGATCTTTGTGCAGTGCAGTGGTTAAGGTTTAAGAAAGCCATCACCAATTAATTCATTGTTATAAGTTTATTTCACAGATGTGCAACCAAAACAAAATCACCAATTTAGAATTTTCTCACCTGACTTGAGTTGAAGGTCTTGCATGGCAAGTCTGTTGGGTCATTACTAAGTTGGAGAGGGTCTTCTGATTCCTCCTCTTGTTTAATGAAGACACTGCAGTAGCTGTCACTCTCATCCCAACATTCATCTTTGATCGTCTCTGATGAGAAATACTTGTGTTTAATATTGTGACAAGAAGGTGTGCGAGGAAACTTCCCCACAAATACTGGGAACTTTCAAAACTGTAAAACAAATTAAATTCATAGGCCTAAGCTACATAATTGTTGCACATAAAATTCTGAACAGTAAAACCTTATTAAAAGTGCAGTGGAACCCTAATAATTAAATTAATATGAACACTATTAACCCTTAAATTGCGCATCGCATCATATGATGCTTTGACCGACTTACAGTAAATTGCGCATTGCATCATATGATGCTTTGGAGAACTACGCATGATATAAACGGCCTGCGGATACACGGGGTTCACCACACCTTCATCAGGGCTCTTGTAAACAGGCGCCATTTAAAAAAAAAATCGTGGGCTAAATTCCCGGATGTTAGGGGCCTCAGTATTGAGTGAGCTACCAAGCCTGACGCATGCAGCATGAGCTCACAGCACTGCTGTTCAGCTTGTGACCACAGCATCGCCTAAAAATGCCATAATATACTTGTTCATGCTATTATGTAGCGATGATATTATTACAGAAGACCCCTGACTGATAAAACTGACCAGGGTTCTGATAATAGCAGGATTGTGGTGATATTTAGCCCTGTGCTCCATGGAGGGAGGAGTAATGCTGTGGGAGGGAGGGTAATGGCGTTGTCTTCTGACTGTGTGTGGCCACCTTTTATTGACTGCACTCACCATACCAGCTTAGTGGTTCGCTATGGTGAACACAAATGTAGATACTTATATATAACGTGTGTATAGAGGGTATAAACAGCAAGAGGAGTAGGTTGGGAGCCGCCATTTTGGTGAGGGCGGTGGCGTCGTCTGCACGATTTATCATGTTGTTTACCAGTGACCACGATGGTCTTTGGGCACCATACCAGTTTACTTGTACAAGTATGGTGAATAAAACAGGTAGATATTTATATATAATTTGTGTATATAGCGTAATAACACCACAAACAGTATTGTTGGAGGACAAATATTAGTGTGTCTGGCCTTGAGCTATAAAAGCAAAAAAGTATGGTGGGAGGAGAATGGTGGCAAGTCAGGTGAGTAAGGGAGGGAGTGGCAGCCAGTGGCGGGCTGCCACTGCCACTCAGTATACCAACTTAGTGGTTCGTTATGGTGAACACGAATGTAGATACTTATATATAACGTCTGTATATATTGAATAAAAACAAAAACAGTATTGTGGGAGGAGAATGTGGGTGAGTCAGGTGACTTGAGGGAGGGAGGGAGTGGCAGCCAGTGGCGAGCTGCCACTCAGCATGCCATCTTAGTGGTTTGTTATGGTGAACACGAATGTAGATACTTATATATAATGTCTGTATATAGTGAATAAAAGCAAAAACAGTATGGTAGGAGGAGAATGTGGGTGAGTGAGGTGTTGAGGGAGGGAAGGAGTGAGTGGCTGGCTGGTACACGGCGGTCACTCCTCGTTACTTTTTGACTCATAATAGCAACTTAGTGGTTCGTTATGGTGAACAAAACATGCAGATACTTATATATAACCTGTGTATATAGTGTAATAACCGACAAAGTATTTGTTCACTGTTTGATGAACATAATTGAATCAACAATATGCACACCATATTTTTGAGTACAGCGATGATTCACTCATTTTATTATATAAATATATCACACTACACACTATTGAACAATATTACAGAAAAAAAACTATGAAAAATCAATCAGAGACATTAAAATAATTAGGTAATTATCTCTTTGTGGCAACTCCGGCCTGACAGCTGGCGAGCAACAGACCGCCTGGGACCCAGGCTGAGTCAGCACATGCTTTTTATTGATGAATCTCTACCCAACCTCGTGTCATGTTACCACTTTGTTCCCCCTTGTATACCTTTTCTTAATCCATTGTGTGCTGCCGTTACCTTCCTATCCCCAGGAGTGCGAGGGTAATGTGTTTTTAATTACCTTTGCTACTGGGTTCTCTGGTGTGCGGTTAGTTTCGTCGTCGTGGGATGGCTTTCTAGTTGTGCCAGGACTAGTTTTTCAATTGCCTCTCCTACTCTGTTCCCTTGTTGATTTTTGTGTCTTTCAATGCTGCCGAGACTAATTTATCTTTAAGGGATTTGTTCCTCTTCCAGGCTAGCATAGGTGGGTCTTTTGGGAAACATTCCCATGATGGGTTGTCTCCAAACCTCTCTTCTAGCCAGGTCCACAATTGGCTCATTGTGTTTTTTAGAGGTTTTTCAAACCCTTCGAAGAAGGTTGTTACCAGGATATCCCTATCCTGGTTTTTCTCCATTTTTTGAGTTAGTTGTTCCCTCGTTTTTTGCCCCAGTTTCCTTTCGGCTGCCTTTAGTACTTCCTCTGGGTAGTCCGTCTGAAAAATTCCCATAGGTCTTCTAGTTCTTCATGTAGGGACCCAGGGTTGCTGTTTATTCTTTTCAGTCTCAGGCCTAGGGAGTACGGGAGTGAGTTTTTTAGTGTCTTCGGGTGGCTTGAGTCATACTGCAGGTATGTGTGGAGGTTTGTCGGCTTGTAGTAAGCTTTAGTCTCCAGTCTGCGTGTTTCCGGGTTTACATAGATCGTTGTGTCTATGAAATTTAGTTCCCTGGTATTCCGCTCTATCGTAAACTGCAGGTTGGGGTGGACAGTGTTCGCCCATGTATAGAAGGCGTCTAGGTTTCTGCCTGGTCCCAACATGATGCCGAAAATGTCATCTATGTACAGGCATACCTCAGAATAAGAGTTTAATCCGTTCCTGGAGACGCCTCGCCTTCCGAAAACTCGCATTCCGAAGTTAATTTCCCCATAAGAAATAAAGGGAAATGAATTAATCCGTTCCTGACTACCCCAAAAACCCCACATCAAACTAAATTTTTATACCTAATTTACCTAATTCATCTAAATAAACCTACAAAACTGTGTTCCAGTTATTACTTACCTTGCTGTCGAGTGCTGTAGGCGTATGGAAGATGGTGATGAGGGGGGAGGAGGAGAGGAGTTACTGTTTGGAAGGGGAGTCCCCTTCCATAATCACATCACATAACCCCATGCCTTGTAACACTATGGATACCACTTCTCTTTCTAAATTTTTCAAACCAGCCCCTGCTTGCCTTAAACTCTTTCTTATTTGCATCACTCGTTGCAGGGGTATTCTTTAGAAGGTCTTCGTGCAACACCCTGGCTTTCTCACAAATAATGGCCTCCGAAACACTATCACCCCTCAACTCCTTGTCGTGTATCCAAATTAATAACAACTTTTCCACTTCTTCAAGTATTTGTGGTCTTTGTGCCGTTAATGTTCTTACTCCTTTTGCCACTTTAGCACCCATAATCTTATTTTTCTTCTTAAGTATAGTGCATATTGTTGATGTGGCTTTGTTGTACTGCCTACAAAGTTCAACAACACGTGTACCGTTCTCATGCTTCCGAATGATCTCTTGTTTCTCCTCTATTGTCATCCTCACATGAGCTTTCTGGCCTTTATCCTTACCACTGGCTTTCTTGGGACCCATGGTGAGATATATAATAACAAATTGTATAGACAAATCACCAAAAATCCAACAAAACACTGAAAATCCGCGAGAAGAATTGATGTGGGGGTAGTCACTGAGCGCGAGACAATAATAAACTGAGGGGCGGCGGGGCGGAGGGGCGACGAACGCGCTAGGTCGGCTGTACGCGTATCAACAAACTCGCGTCCAAACTCGCCTCCCGAAGTAACCCTCGCCTTCTGAGACAAATTTTTGGAGTAAATACACCTCGCCTTCCGAAAATCTCGCATACAGGGACAATCGCATTCCGAGGTACCACTGTACCTGAAATATATTCTAGGTCCGACCTGTAGGTTTCGTCTCTGTGATTCAAAGACCTCATGGACAAATATTTCAGCGATGGCCACACTGCTTGATGCTCCTATTGCCGTTCCTTTGACCTGCCTATAGGTTGTGCCTTTAAATGTCAGGATAGTATCCCTCATGACATGCAGAATCGCCTTGGTCAGGAGGTTTTTCGACGGTAGCCTATATATTCCTGTGTCCCTCAGGTCTCTACTGATCCTGTGGGCATTTCTGTCAAAGTATTCTGCCACTAGAGTTGCTGCTTCCTTCTGAGGTATGCTAGGGTAGAGGGACACGATGTCTAGGAAGAATAATGTCGCCTCTACCGGGACTGGGCCCTACTCCTCGTTCGTTTTGCTAAGTTTAATCGGGAGGTCAGTGGTGTCCACTAACCTCTCCTCCAGTAGCTGTAGAAGGGGGTTCAGCAGAGCTGTGCAGATTCTGTCAATAGGTCTAGTTGGTGCTCTACACCCACTCAGAACTGGGCGTCCCGGCCAGGTCCCCGTTATTGGGTCCACTCCTTTATGTATTTTAGGCAGTAGATAAATATTTGGTAATTCAGATTTGAAAGCCAGGAAAGCATCCCTTGCTGTTGCCTTCAGGATGCCTCTTCTACCTTCGTTCCTGAAGAACGAGAGTATCAGAGATCTGCTTCTGATCTGGGCATTTTTGAGTGCTGTGTCCCCATTTGACACACCTGTTGGTAGGTTGTTATATCCATCAGGTGTCTCCCCATTTCTCTGCAGTAGTTTTCTTTTTCCCAGAGGGCTACTGTCCCACCTTTGTCGGCCGGTTTTATAACTATGTCCTGCCTTTCTTCCAAGTTTCGCAGGGCTGAGCGAAGCTCCGGCTGGAGGTTGTATTGTCGCCGCTCATTTACCTGTGCTGCAAGGGAGAGGGTCAAGCGGTCCACTTGGTCATGTAGGCCATTGAGTTTAAAAGGTGTAGGGGTTATCTGGGGGGGAGGGTTCATGTATTTTGCTGAGTGTGACCTAGATGTCCCTCGTTTGTTTACCCGGGAGGGGGTGGATGTACCTGTAGCTAGTTCTGTCACCCTAAGCGAAGACCAGGTTTTGTTTACCTGGTCTTCCAAAGACCCCATTGTTGCTTTTACCAACTCCAGACGTTTATGTCTTGGAGGGGGGCCAGGGACAAAGGTGAGGCCTTTGCCTAGGAGTT